TGCAAATTTTTTGCCTTTAGTTTTATGACGTTACGCTTAAACAATATTATGCGTAAATATAATTACTAGAAACAAAACTATGTCATGCTATAATAAGTATTAAGATTTCATACAAATGGATAGAGAAGCTGCTTAAAAAACCCTCCCCCATTTTTATATCAATTTACAAAGTCATATCTAATAAGGAGGGTATATTTTCTTATCTATTTGATAACATAAACGCGAGGCACGGATATCAATCAGATAATATTTCTTTTTATCGAGTAGATTATTCACAGATCCATATGGTTCTCCACATGGTTGGTGTGCGGCAACCGCGTCAAGTGCCTATGTTTTACAAAAAAAACATTTTCACCGATTTATCGCAACTTAGTTTCTTACAGTGGCTTGTGGAAATTACACTATGAGCAAGGCAAGTACTCAAAATCATCCTATTTTTACAATTTCAAAGAAAATACAGTGTATTGTGAAAAAAAATAACATAAAATACGATAATTGAGTGTGTTTATTAAAATTATACTGATAAGAAAATATTACGTTGCGTTTACTAATATAAATTATTTTATATATTGACATAATATAATAATTGTTTTTGAGGAAATAATTTTTTCTTCAGTTCATTATATAATAATTATAATTTATTTATTTTCAAGTAACATAGACTCTCATTGTTATATAAATAACTTAATAAAATTTCATTGAAATCCATATTTTTAATGAAAGATAATTATTTACTTTTTTATTATTAACATAAAGTCAGAATTCCATATTCAAACATCTATGGTGTTTTTGTTTTAATTAATTTCACTGTCTTTATTTATGGAAAGTGAGACACGTAATATTAATTTGCAAAGAATATATAATTCATTTCAAAATTTCGGAACAAACTTTTTTTTTATATTTATATTTGAATTGTACCTAATGATTTTTTAATCATATCATTATAAAATAGCATTGTGAATGAAATTTCATCAAATATAATAATTATCACTGAAAGTTGTGTTATGATTTGAATTTTGATTGGTAAAAGATATGAGTAGTGTTGTATTTTTTTATTGATTTATCAATGAAAAACATTATTATTCTGTGTGTATAATATAATACCCAACGCGTAGTTTCCTTGCTTGAATAGTTTTACTCACGACTCTACAATCAAGAAGTTTCAAAAACACCAACGCAATCTAGTAAGTAGCTAACAATCTGACATGAATCCGTGACCTTTCACACTTCGGCAATGTGGTGTCGGTTCAATTTTTACAGCTAAATAATTTTCAATGTACATAAAGACTTTTATATAGGTACATCCAGATCATTAACCGTCTGTAAATGTGCAAACGTAAAAATCGTAACATACAATAAATATACATACAAATAAATATAATTGTAGTGTCTGTTTGTAATAAAAACAGTAATTGCTTTTCATTAAATATCGTACATATATATGTACACACAGTAGATACATATACAAAAATATATTTTTTATAAATATTTTTTTTTCACACGTTTTGTCTTTGTTCGTTTGCTTGTTCTGGGTAATTCACCAAAACAGCTGGATCTATTTAAACAGGACATTCACTGGCAGTAGCTTAAGTAATAGGGGTAACTTAGGCTTTCTTCCACGCGGACGAACTTGCGAGTACAGCTATTAATCTGTAATATTAAGAAATAGGATTAACAATATATTTTACGCCTTGTTTCGGACAAAAGACAGGATTATGATTAACTTACTATATTCAACGATAAAATTATTTAATCTAATATTAATGAGTTGATAAATTAGGTACGATAATAACGAATTTATCGGTATTTTTAATAAAACCGATGACTTAAAATCTTTATATATAAAATCACTTTTATTAAAGTCAAAGTCGGTACAAATGTAATAGATTATGTCTTGAAAATTAATCAATCGATTTTGATGAAACCTTTGCTGTTAAAGCTTAAGAATAAAAAATAATGCTATTTGATCTTTAATTTGCGAGAAAGACAAAGATAATCGTATAAACAACACACATATACACATATTATTAGAAATCCATAAATACTAACACATAATAATATTGCGTAATTGTATCGAATATTTTTAAATGTCTTACTATCATCATCATTTCTATAGATTTTTAGAGCAGTTTTGATACTATTGTTAGTCATTAGCAATACTCTGTTTACGGAAGAAAGAGAAGCAGGTCCAGGCAAAAAAAGCACTGGATATAGTTAGATATTGCTTTAAAACTTTGTTGGTCGTGCCCTCTCTAGATGGATTTCTAACTACATAAAATTTGGTATCGAAAGAAAAGTATCGATTTGTATTAATTCATTTCGTTTTATCCCTATTCAATAGTCGTCACCATTCATTGTACTAGTGTATACCCCCACCTCGCTCCTGTCGTTGTAATAACATCTTTTCAAATAGATCATAGTACGACCCCTGTGTATTGTAATAATATTCTCACTAACAGTTGCGGTGTTCAGAAGCAATTTAAAACTTTCTCTGCATAGGGCGCAGGTGCTCCACTCATGTTCATAGAAATCAGACTGAAGTTATATCAAACTCTGTCTGGTAGCATTGCAAAAGAAGACTAATGTGTAGAACAAGGAATGGAGTTGAATAACTATTTTATATACGCTTGGGTCTCACACATACCGCATCTTTTTTGTCGTAGGAAGAATATTTTGTGCACTGATCCTGCCGCTTGACAAGCGACAAGGAATCTGTGGGACTTTCGATCCACATGGACCCGCCCGAAGGCTAGTCAAAACTTTGATGGCAATCCACTAAAGCCCCTCCGGGGCACTCTCGCTTTTGAACTTGTGATAAAATCATGATAAAACCGTAGCCGAGTGGTTTACTGGTTTCAAGGTATCTTCTAGGTCCCGGGTTCGATTCTTGGTCCCGTCAATGTAGGAAATTGACATTTCCATATTGTTTCGGGTTTATTACCTTCGTTATCTTAGATACTCTTTAATACGGGAGCTTTGTAATAAAGCTTGTAAATCTAGGAATTTGAACTATGTATGAGATATTATGCTTGATAAATTTTGCATTCACAATGGTATACTTTTTCATTAAAGAACTAGCTTTTGCCCGCGGCTTCGTCTGCGTGGTAAAGTTACTTTGGGCAGCATATATATTCCAGAAACGATGATGAAATTACATTGATGTTTAAGTTCGAAGATACCACAACAAAACAAAACTACAAATAACTATTATATTTCAATACTTTATCTTTGAAAACTTTAGAGATATTAATCCAATCCAATCTACTCTTATTTTATCCCCATGGGGGTTGAATTTATCAAAATCCTATTTAAGTGGATATCTTCATCAAAGTAGCTCCAATCTTTAATTTCAGTTCAAACAGTCGAAAATCTAAGAAAATTTATACAAACTGTCATCCCCTATTTTATTACCTTAGAGGTGGAATTAATCAGAATCCTTTCTTAGGGGATACCTACCTCATAGTAGCTTTATGCATGCAAAGTGTCAGCCTGATTGTTTAAAAATGACAAAGTTTCATACAAACTTTTATCCCCTTGAGGGTAGAATTGATCAAATCCTTTCTTAGCGGATGCCTACGTCATAATATCTACCTGCATGCCAAATTTCATCCCGATCCATCCAGTGTATTGGGCTGTGCGTTGATAGATCGCTATGTCAGTCAGTAACCTTTGAGTTATGTATATTTAGATATATGTGATGTTAAAAAAAGAATAATAATTTAAATTAAACTAATAAAAAGAATAAACCACAATTTCTTGGTCCATAAATAATTGCAATAAGCAAGTCCATTCTCGCCGTTGTTCCTAGTCATAATCATAAAGTATGTGAGTAAGAACTTGCCCTACACTCTTCAAGTCAGCAAGACGAACTTCTGCATAGTATTATTTGAGTAGGGAATCAACTTGCCGTCTCTATTCTGATCCTCGTCACCACAAACCCAACGAATTTACATTTAAATGAGAACTATAATTCCTTTGTTTTGGAGAGATTTAATTTAAGTGAACTAAGGTACCTGCATGAGTCCGCCGAAAGTTTCTTAATTAATTTATTGGCAATACGACGCAACTGAGTTTAAGAGGGCGCCAGAGCCAAATCTTATTAATTTTGTAGTGATTTAACACAGTAAATAAAGTTTAAATAATTGTAATTAATACAGAACTGATTGTGTTAAAATATGATAAATAACTTATAAAAAATGTTTCTCTCTTGAAAAATCAATATATTACAGTTAATAATATTACAAAGACATACATACATATTACAGTTAATAATATTACAAAGACAACTATTACAGCGTGGTGTATCCAAAAGCCTACAGCTCAACATAAACCACAGATGACTGCGGCATAGATTTTCAGTTGATACTGAATACATTTATCATTGAAATTCACCGTTTACGTGATTTTCTCGTGTTATTTATAATCTTTTAACACAGAACACATATACACAATCTATGCATGTAGCTAAAAAATTACTTTGTTTTATGGATTTAGTATTTTTTAAGTAAATAAACGAAAAATAGACCGTCAAATATACCCTCTAATTTGTGCATGTTGATATGTCTCGTTTTCTCATCACCTTTTAGGCGCTACCTTAAGAAACATCAATATAAATTGCCTATTCTCTTTTACTACAAATATCTCACTTATCCATAATATCACGAAGTCCCGCTGTGAAAGTTTTTTTATAAATTTAAATTAGTATTCTAAAATATAATCAAAAGTTGTAAAGTTAAAACTAAAAACTTTGTAGCGAAATGCACGTTTTATTGTCTGAAATAAGACATTGATTAGCTCATTACCTGTCAAACCTCAACTTTCTTAAAAAGGAACAATATAAATTTAATTCTTTATTTAATAAAAAACTCTTGGATGTTTTTAACATAAATTTCTATTTCAGTACACCGAGAACTCGAATAATTTTTCTACATAACCTAAGCAAAGTTTGTTTTATTTAAAAGACCATTCTTTGTATTTTTTACTGTTGAATTGCTCTATTGATGAAACATAGCACAACTATTAATTATATCAACAAATTAATTAACCCATTACCTCCACAGTCCCAAGCCAATGGTAAGCAGGTAACAAATGACACAAATTCTTCCGAAGTCATACCGGCGAGGGCGACTTGGGGCAGTCCCCTGGAATTTATACTTGCATGTTTGGGGTACGCAGTCGGGCTAGGCAATGTTTGGAGATTTCCTTACCTTTGCTATAGGAATGGGGGCGGTAAGCATAGCAACTTGTATTTTAATTTCTATTTATCCGACAGGCGTAGGCTTCATGTTTCTAAGTGTGGGCTTTGAAGGGTTGACCAAAGTTTTTTACCCTCGAGCCCTTACATGCCTTAAAAGAAAATTAACTCCCGGTTTCTGGATTGAGAATTTAACGTTAAACACGTCTCAAACAGTACCACAGCCATCTTTAAAGTCACTTTAACAGCTTTTCGTTTCTGATTTTAATTTTTTTAACGATCAGTTGATAGTAGTTTGATAAAACTAGGACTTTTTGCCATTTAAAACGTATAGAACTTAAAGTATAGAGAATTTTGTATTTTTCTCAATTCAGAAACCGGCCGCTAGCGGTTAACACCCACTATTCTGGACTTAGACCGCGTGACGGGTTATGGCCCATTTTTTATAGGTATCTTTTCGCGAAAAAATGGCCCAGTATTGAAACTCAATCCCAAAATAATTTATTTCTTTGAAATGTATTAACAATATCGTTGATTTGACGTTAGTTGAAATTGTCTAGGGCAAGAGATATACGCAAACAAAAATGTTACATCCGTTTCCAATTATATATATACGTTACGTTAACTCTTAGAAACCTAGACTCAGTAAATGACAATGACTTTTGTATTTTTTGTGTTAATTATATTAATAAACAGTTAATCAGGCTTACATATTCAAATTTCATTATTGCAGGTGCGTTTTTAATACCGTTCTTCTTGATGTTGATTTTCATTGGATTGCCGATTTTCTATTTGGAACTTTACATTGGGCAGTATACCGGAATTGGTCCACTGCAAGCGTTCACAGCTATCTCACCTTTCTTCAGTGGCCTGGGATACTGCACCTTGGTCGTTATCAGTATCATTTCAATCTATTACATGATTATTGTTGCATGGATATTGTTTTATACGATAGTCTCCATCGCTGGACGATTAGATTGGGGCTCATGCGAAAATGATTTTAATACTGAATGTGAGTATAATACTTTTTAGCTACGGAATATGAATGAATTACATTAGCTTGCTGTCATCTCTGAACGTTAGCTGCTTGAGAATAAATGAATAAAACTTTATTGGGCAAACACGTACGGCTAATGACTATAACAAAAAATCATTAGCTTTCCCGTTAGTTTAGTTTGGAAAGATATCTAATTGTAAATTTGTTTTTCAAGCAATTTCAATTTGCATTCATTTTATCTGAATGTGGTGGTAGCTTTGTTCACAATATATATTATTTTTATTATTTCACTGACCAAAAAAGCTCTAAATATGATTGGATGTTAATTCATATAACTTTAAATATATTTTATAACAAAAACCTAAGAGCATTATGTATTATTCAGTTTGTTACAGCGGAGAATATGATCGAAACTGTAGGAGTCAAAACTTCACTGGCAGTGAAACTAAAACATATTACTTACAAGATTGCATAAGTATCGGTGAAATATGCACCATGTCAGGGTTCCAACCGCTTAACGAGACTCATTGTGTGAACGGAACAGTACCTGTGGAATGGTATACAGGGATCACACGTGTTCTGGCATCACAAGAATACTATAAGTAAGTATAATATCGTCTTCATAATTTGTAAAAAGTTGTTTTGTAAAATCATTGTCATTCATTATATTCTGCGTATCATTGTATTCAACGTGAAAAGTGCCAAAACACTAATAAGTGACAATCTTAATAGGGTAATTAGTTCGTGCGACATATTCCTTGGCCTACATCTATAGTAATGATAACATATATTTATTTGAGAAATATGTTTGGATACTAAAAATATTATTATGCGTTATGTATGCCGCCTACGAGCGATAAAACGTAATTTCAACGTCAACACCTGCATTCCAAAGGCGCTTAATTTACTTTCGCTCAACTCTTGCTTCCGAACATAAATCTTAAAATCAATTTCGCATTTTAATTAGCAAATTGATCTTACGGGGTTAAATTCAAAACTCATTCTTATTGAGGGATATATCTCAGGAAGATAAACCCGCAATATAGTTTTATCCCTTGGGTCATAACTATATTATGACTTTATCTATCTTACTTACTGTGACAAATATTATTGCAAGCACTCTCTAACATAACAGTTGTTGTACAGCCTTCGACGCTTATAATATTAATCCTATCGTTTGATTCATACAAACAGCAGTACATTAGCTTGTACAAATCTATCATTTTTTTCATTTGATTTTAAAATCAATTAAGATACATATTGATGTAACCTAACATGACACAATATAAAAATTGTACCTTAATATTCAAATCACATATGATGGTAATAATAATTAAATATTAAACACTCTATTTATAATACAACGCAATATATTTTATATCTATACTAAATTAATTACATTTCTCAATTTAACATGGCAGATTGCGTATTTTATCGGAAATTCGAATCATTTATGCCGTTGACCGATTAAATGCAGATTTCCTGGTACTGAGGATATTGTTGAAGTCATTTTATTACAATTATAATTTAAGAAGTATTTAGTTTAATTTGATTAGTATTAAATTCATCAAAAAAGAGATACGTGTAAAAAGTACTGGTTAAAATAGTGTTAGTGTCACTGTAAAAGTTAACAGATGTATGCTCCGTTGGTTTGGATAAGAATTCCGGACGCGAAATTGGAATAATGATAAAGCAAGAGCAGGCGAAGGAAGAAGAACCAGACAAGACACATCTTTTTTCGCTACTACACAAATTTATCACGCGTTAACGGATAGTGATGGTCATGTGAAACCTGCATCAATGAAAAGAGTAATCATTGAAAAGCGAAATATGTATGCACAATTCTTTCTATCTAGCCCGCGTAGAATGTAGCTTGCAGATTTAGATAGATATGATAATACATTTCTACTTGTGACCTTGTCTATAGGGATTTCAGCATGATAGTGACAGTTTAACCTACATATACCTGCTAAACTTATATGTATCTATATATTTTTACATATAAATTTCATTGTATTTTAGCGAACGAGTTCTAGGAAGAGGTGACGCATCCTGGTCGAACTGGGGAACTATTCAATGGCATCTAGTCGGTACACTTTTCATTTGCTGGTTGCTGGCATTTTTATGTGTTATTAAGGTTAGAGCATAATATACTTATAAATTTGAGCTTTGGGTGACACAATTATACGACATCATAACAAACTCAAATACGAATCACCAATAAACAGTTTTCAGGACTACACGATCAGCGACAAGCAACTGTCTATTTATTGATAACTTCTGTATTATTGCCGACTTAAATTTTATTTATCGTTTTATTTTAGGGGATAAAATCAGCAGGGAAAGTAGTTTATTTCACTGCTCTCTTCCCATATGTCATGCTGACGGCTCTACTTGTCCGGGGGGTGACCTTAGATGGTGCTGCTGACGGAGTTTTGTTCTATTTGTCACCAAAATGGGAAACATTATTGGACGCCAGTGTCTGGGGTGATGCTGCATCACAGGTAAAATATGTATATTAAAAAAAAATCTGCAGTTACATTATCGAACAAACAAAACAAAATGACTTAATTCTTACAAGTTATCAATATTCAACAAATTGAATTATAAAAAAATAACTTTAGAAACCGAAATATAAAATAAATCCACCACATTGTTATTCAAAACATGTACAAAGTATGCATTCACATCATAATACACAAGAACGTGAGAAGAAACTTATAGGAAATACATATAGATCAGTTTTACATCAATATAGATTCTCTATTAAAATACAATAAAGTTCAGCAGAACATGCAATTTCGTCCTTTGCTGATATGACCCATTTTAGTAAGTTTTATAGCATCATCTCAAAGATATCACCGTAGCTATTAAAAATTTCACCAACAGCTATCAGTCCCTAACTGACCCAATCAACTCTAATGACAGAGAAAATAAACAATTGATAGCCTAATTCCAAGAAAATGAGCTAAACAATAAATTATTTCAAGTAATTAAGAAAGTGGGAAATTTAATGAGAAAAGGTTGTTTCATACACGTTTTTTTAAACTAGTAATCGAAATATATAACTTTAAAAATAACTTAACTTTCTAACGAAATTAAGTATCAAATTCTACACCAAGCAATGCCACCTATACCAAGATTGGTCACTGTCACTGTCAGAAAAATTAAAGTTTCAGAAATCATTGATCTTAAGTATTAATCTGGGAAATTTACTGTAGACATAACTTACAAAGAGAGATGTTTGAATGTAAACGCTAACATTACGAGTGTAAGGACTCCTATTCCATTCATACTGCCGTGACATCGTCTCCATCGATTTGAAAATCGTAACCTCTGGGATGCTTTTTGGCAATAATTAACATAGCTTACAGGTTACAACATGATCCTATATAGAAAACATCCAAATTCTTCACCCCATCAGGACATAATAAAGCACTGAAACTTGAACGTTAGTAATTTTATCAATTCGAGTAACTCACAAACTAAACCACAACCACCACCACCGTAAATTATGAACACGCCATCTAATAAGTCGCTTTTAACTAATTTAGTTTTAGCCAGTGAAACAGGGTCATGAATATTGGACTTGCACTTTGGCTAAGAGCTAACATATTGGAAAGTTTATTTTCAAAGTCATATCAATAAATACCAAATTTATCCCTATATATGGCCTAACTAGACCAGAGTGACTCTGGTCTAGTCTTAACCAATATTCACAAATTATTAAATAATTATTAATGTTTTAAAAATCCACTTTGTCACTGGCACTCTGAGATGGGACTCGAATTTCGCAATCCGGGCGCTACCCAGGACCTAACAGGACTGACGAATTTTTCAAGCACTTGTTACTTTTTCGCTACTACGTCAATGTTAAATTGATCAAATATGAAAAAATAAAACAAATATTTCACATTATCTAAGTAAACTAAAACTCTGATTGCCTGAGTTTAATTTTTTTTATATGAACAAATCACATATCTTGACACCGCGACTAATACCATTACTGATAGTATTCCTAATTATTAATTTTATAAATATCGAAATGTTTGGAAATTTTCTGTTATTTGAGCTGTTTCTTCATTTTTATGATGCCAATATTTTTTCTTTTTATCTGCATTTTTACTTTTACTCATAACTTTCTCTTGTCTGCAGATATTCTACTCCTTCGGTGTGGCGTGTGGTTCTCTCATCACTCTCGCTTCTTATAACAATTTCCACAATAACTGTCACTTTGACGCTGTCGTTGTGAGCTTCACTAACTTCTTCACATCAATATACGCCGGCTTCGCAATTTTCTCCGTACTTGGCTTTCAGGCTCTGCAAATGGGTGTCAGTGTTGATGGTAAGTCACTACTATCAGTTTCCTAAGATATAGTTTCCTATCTACGCTTATCGCTAAATAATAAAATCAGTGTATCATCCCTATAAATAGTAATCTCAATTCCATTATATCTTAACATACATCTGAATCATGCACAATGCCCAAAAATAGCGATACTACAAAAAGTTTCGTACAGTCTATCGTGCGAGATATACGTCCAAATCGCAAAAAATATCTCTCGAAACTAGTTCGTTTATTAATCGGAGTGGCTCTTACTGGTAGTTCGTTCGAGTTGATTAATCCATGTCGGGCGCAAACAGCCGCGGGTGCACACATCCACAATAATACCGGCTGTTGTTTCAACGCGTTGAATAAACTAACGCGCCGCCCCGTACCGAGGCGGTGTTTGCCGGCCGCCGCTGGAGTTTGCCAATAAACATCTCTCTAACAACAAGTTTGTTGCTTTTGCCGTAACGAAACTGTGAAAGGACTGAAAAAGAAATAAAAAACACTAAGCTTGAATATTCTTTATTTACAAAACAACTAACAGTGAAAAGAAGAACATTTTTTTATTTAAAAAAATGCCCAAGTCTCTTTTTCCTTATAGAAATCAGTTTAATGTTTAAGAAATCAAGTTTCTTCCTTTATTTGTGTGTAAGGGCATTTTTCATAAATGCAGGAGTGCAACCATTCTCTAGCCATTATTCTAGACATAGGATACGACATCTTATCGATGTTATGACGATTTTCGTTTCATGTTACTATCCGAAATAATATACTGATATTTCATCAGTCATTTCAGACTGATACACAGACGCAATAGAGGGATAAGGATATGATTGAAATTATCAATTGTTACTATTACTTAAAATCTTGGATCTGATTTATAAAATTTGTAGATGCTAAATAATAGTATGTTGCACATTTCCACAAAGAAGTCACATGTGCTGTAATTGAAACAATCTTTTTGGAATCAGTAACTGTTATTTTCTGAAATACTAGTATTTTCTACCTTTGTAATTTGTAAAAAAAGTATAAAAACTATGAATACAACAAAATTATGAATATCGAATGTCAAATCCAGACAACGATTAATCTGTTTGGTGCAAATGGCTAAAAGGCCTTTAACATGAAAACAATTAATAAACAGATAACCAACATCACCGAAGTATTTATTATGAATACATGATATCAGCTTATGAAAGTATATCCGATATTGCATGAGATACTACCAGTAGGTAGCCTGTTATTATAGTGTCATGCATGTATTAGCGATAAAAAAAGCAGTCGTGTTACCCGTACCTTGTTATTAATCGAGGGATAAGGTATCCTATTTGTTTAATAGAGCTGTCGACTTTTTTATATTTTTTTAAAGATATACCTGTAATATATTTTTGAAAATATATAAAAAATTTCCTCTCTTAAATTAATTTAAACTGTAAAAGTAACACTCATGTTCAAAATTTCCCGCTAAAACGCTAGCCTCTGCAATGGCGTCGGTGTGACATCACTGCTCTTGAAACTAACATAAACAATAACAACAACAAACATATTTCTATGTAATATTTCAATGTCAAAATCAAATTTCACATAATATATACATATAGGACTGTGACTTCACGCGCTGTTTGCAGTGATGTGACAACGAGTATAAAATAAGTGTTTTCGTAATTAATTTATATGATAATAATAATAATAAAACAAGCATGGTAGTACAACCAGAAATAATATAATATGTATATAGTTTCGTTTACTATCTACACCCGTATTTAGAAGTCGAAATATTTTTGTTATAATTTTGTCTATGTCTATTTTCGACGCAAGAAAATTTAAATATTTTGAATTTCCTACCTATAACTGTTACTTTTTTTCGGATTTATAAAAATGTAATGTTAATCTGCTGCAATTCACACTCGTTGTAAAATCCCACTGAAAGAATTGGTTACCAAACAAAATATCAATAGTAACAAGTGACCTACCGGTAACACATCGTCCTATAATGCTCTACTTATTTTATTCTTTTGTTTTCCCACGATTTCGCCCGCTTGAATTATAGCCTATGTCACCCGCAGTATGATATGGTTCCTGTAAGTAAAAGCATTTTCATGATCAAATCAGTTTTACCGAAGATCACCCCCCTACAAACAAACATAGTCAGAAATTTTATCTCTTTATAATATTTATATATATTTTTTCTTCCTTGCTCTTTTAATGTTTTAGGTACTTTACATTAAATTAGTATCACAGATAAATAGTATGCTATTCTTCAAATGAATAATATTAAAAACCAAGAATCAAGGAGGTATCAACTATCAATACCTAAAATATATTTTAAAGATGAATTCGCAAAACGAGTTAATCAACACCGATATTCAATTCGGTTAACAGGTACCATTTCATTACATTCGAACCGTGTATCACCAATGTGTATAATATTTATTGTTCAATCAATCCATTATCCCGCGAGAGAAATTCAAACATACATCGCATGAGCAAGAGTGTACTCGGTGGTGAGCAACATGTAGTCAGTTTATTTTATGCATCCATGTTATAGGACCGTTCAGGTAAAAAGACTATTGGGGAAGTTAGAGATCCAGGTTAATTAAGGAATTAAGATGGCCCAACAACTAAATTTAATATACATGCATAGCCTTTCAGATATTTACTGGTACGAAAAATACTTGGCACTATGGGCAAACCTTGGTGATTGTATTAAAAAGTATAATAATTTTCATTAAAAAGTTAAAAAATACGTTTGGACGAAAAAGGTACTATGTCGCCGTATGTTTACTTTAAACAATAAAATATTAAAGTTTAACTTGAAAATGCTATGGGTACCTAATAACATCGAAACATTTTGGGTGTATCGCACTAATAATTTGCGACCAACATATTATTACAATTTCATATTGTACATTTGTTGTAAATTTATCCCCAACCAAATTAGGAAGTCCCGTGTTAGAAAAACTGTCATTGATTAGATGAATTATCGATTTAATATGCAAAGAATACAAAACATGAAATAATGCAAAGCAACATCATGTTCTTATGTAAATATACACCGCAAGTGAAGCGAAGATATATATTAAATACTCGAATAATTTGTCTAAAACGTGAAATTCAATATTATAAAGTATAAATATCATCTCAATACAAGAATGTCCCGCCTTTGTTTCGTAGCAGTAATTAATAACATAAAAATATTAATTATCCAATTCATTTTTGTTTACCGTTCACTCTCATTAACAGATGTGGCAGAAACAGGGCCAGGTTTAGCATTTGTAGCATATCCAGAAGCCCTTCTCCAAATGCCTATCCCGCAGCTATGGGCGATACTATTCTTCTTCATGCTTTTTATACTCGGTCTCGGATGTCAGTTTGCTGGCATAGAGGCTATAAATACTGCGATTGTGGACACATGGCCGCAACTAAGGAAGAGGTACTGGATGGTAAATATGACAATACTTTTCAATAGTAATTCAATTAGAATAAAAACCTATTTGGCTCTTACATGATTCGTCTGGAAAAATACAGCATCAAAAAAGGATTTTAGAAAAAAGCTGCCTTTGTTGTGGTTATTCTTGGTACAAGGTCTCCCGTCGTAGACTTACTAACCAATAGTAGGTATAGACTTTCACAAGTTTTCACTCGACTGAATAGATGATTTTTATTTGTTTAGATAACACATGCACATGCGAGTCCTACCAGATAACTGCCTCCGTAAGATGATATGATGATATCAAACGTGTACGTTAATATGGATAGGGCTAAAGAATTCGAGATTTTATAACCATCTAAAATTTGACAAATGCACTCATAATAACTGGAGTTGAAAATCCTCGGAACAAAATTTTACCAATCAATATTTATGCAGCATTATAGCAATGAATCCCTCATTGCTACTTAGGCACTCCTTTGCCTTTAATTCTTTCTACATAAAACATGGTTTTGTCTCAATGACATATCTTATTGAGACGATAATAGATAATAAGAAATAATAAATAAATCTTTCACCGCTGTTTTATCAATATGCAATCGTACATACTAATATTATTGGCCTTTGAGTTAAAATAATTGAATATCGACTATCACTTGTAGTATAAAAGATTAATAAAAATTATATCAATATTTATAGTTCTTATCTAATGTTAAACCGTTTAAAAGTGGCAAATTCATAAAAGGGCATCGCTGCCCCCGATTAAGTGAATATTTTTGAGACTTAACTTCTTACCAAAGTATGTCTGTTTTAGGACTTTTTGTCATTTTTGTTTGACACTTATTTGATATGTTCTCGACAATTTTATTTGCTAACGGTACACAGTATATCCATTATTATTTCAGGTGACAGCCGGTACGTGTTTTAGCTGCTTCATCCTTGGACTACCCATGTGTTTTAGCGGGGGTGTTTACCTGTTCACTATACTGGATTGGAACACAGCATCCTGGGCTATACTTCTAATAGGCATGGCTGAAGTAAGAGTTCAATTTTAATACATTTTTGCGTTTGTTGTTATATATTTTACTCTGATATAAAACAGTAAGAGAAGCTTTACGATGTAATGTATTTTATTCTTAATGAAAAAATGCTTAAAAAATCTACCAACAACAAGTGTTTGATAAATTCATCAGTCTGGTTGGGTCTCGGGTAGCTCAGTGGTCTGAGTAATCATCCAAACTGCGAAAGGTGAGCCTGATGGGTTTTTAAGCATTTTTCATTAAACATTTATACATATGACCTTTAATAAGAATCTAGAACGGCGCATTACACCTACTTTCTACGTCAATACTTTTAGATAGTTTGGTTTAGTGATCTGTAATGAACCATTTTCTTCTGATTGAAATTCTTATTCCTATTTAAATAATCGCAGTAACTTTTAAGACAATTTGAAAAATCTTTTTAAGTAAGTTTTTTCTTAGTTTATATTTTCCAAGTTTTTATCGCATCAATGCCCTCATTGAGGTCACAGATTTTACTTATCGCAGTATGATTGTGATTGTCTTTAAAAGTATTTGATTAAAAATGAATTCATGTCCAACAGTGTATTGCTGTCTCCTGGAGTTATGGTATCAACCGCGCTATAAAAGATCTGGCTTCCATGAAAATGAAATTTAATCCAGTGTTGAGGTTTTACTGGAAAGCTGTCTGGACCGTCATCGTTCCCGTAGGCAGTATTGTAAGTATTTTTCTGCACTCACTGTCATTTTGTATACTTTTTAATGATGGGACTCGAGTACGATTTTGTAACTCAAGTCACATCGAGCCAATTAACTACCTCACTCGATTCATATTCGATGTTTCGTGAGACTTGAGTACAAAAATTTTGAACGTGCTACTCGAGTGAGATTTCGCTTAGTAATTTTAAACAAATACATACAAAACATAAATAAAATATGCATTAAAAGACTTTTATTTATTTAATTAAGTATGAATTATTTATTTATATAAGTAATCATGAAAATTAAAAAATAAGCGGCATAGATTAACAAATTAGAGTAGCGCAGTGACATCTAGTGGCAAGAGAATCACCTCGATATGCGTTGTCAATATCTCGAGTGCATAGAGACTCAAATGATATTTTTTTCACTCGAGTACGAGTCTGAAGGTCTAATTTTCCAAAATGATTTGCCCAATCTAGTTCATTAAGTTGGTCAACGTGACGTAACGTGACATGAAGATCATGTTTGGGTTACCTGGAACAAATACGCTTTAGCAATGAGGCCACCAATTGTACTTTCCGTACATTATTATGTTTTCTTCATTTATGTTTACTTATGGTATGTATAATAAAGAGTCTTTCATTCGTTCACAATGTGACGTAATGAAATACTTTCTGTATTTGATGATGAAACTTACGATATATATACATTATTTATGCAGTAGAACAACCCAATACACATAATTACGTTAATTTTAACTTACGCAGCAATTCGAATATCATTAAAATGTTTTTCTAACAAAGAGATCGGAGAAAAAAGGAAATTAAAATATTTTGGTAATTCCATCCAAATATTGTTTGATAATTAAATTAAAGTGATTTCGCATAAATCCTTGTTTTTAAGTATTAATTTTTGTATAGTATATTTTGCATTAATAATATTAATAATAAAATTGTGACGCCACAGCGATTCCTATAAGTTTTATAAACTATTGCCGCCAAAAGGTAACAATAGTTTGGTCATCCAAATAACTATTACGAGAGATTGATTCGAGGTGCTATATAAATACAACGTATGTTTTTTTTTTCAGAGTGTACTGATATTTATATTTATAAATTGGAGCCCTCCGTCGTATGAGGATTACGAGTTCCCATGGTTCGCGGACATGCTCGGCTGGTTGGTGGGTCTATCTACACTCATTCTATTCCCGGTTGGTGTGTGTTGGGCGTTATATCATGGATATGTAAGTCTTTACTTTAACATTTTTATAGGCATTTCAAAATAACTATAGAATAATAATAATTATACTTTTCATAATTAGTAAGACCTACACAGCAATTATAAATACACAATAAAAAAGACAAAATTAATAAAAAAATATATTAAAATATATAAATTCAAAAACACTTATCTCGAGATACTGGCAAAGCTGGTCGTCAACAATTATCTTCAAAGTACTTCACAGCTGAGTATTGCGTGATATATTCCCTTAGTACTTCGACATACTGAAATATCAACTGTTACAAAACTCTTGTACATTTTTATAACGTCGAGTTTATCTGACATAGGTGACCTATTCGTTAAATTAACAACAATGGGTCAAGCTTTACAGAAATTATATTAAATGGCGTAAGGACAATAGGGATGATGAATGGGTAAAAAAAGTAAATTCTATTTAGTCCTTCAGTCAGATAAGAAAAATATTGAATACATTTTTTTTACTTTAATTTAAAAAGAAATGACTTAGATAATAGTCATTATAGTTTAGAATTGAGGGCTCGCTGCATCGCAACTAATGTGTCGAAATTGTACTTAGATGTGAACTCATACGATATTTCAACTCAATTTATCCCATAAAATTTATTGATTATGAAAAAAAATTAAAATAATACGTATTTAATATACCTTAATAATATATCTAATGGATAAACGCACAAAAATTAGTCATCACCCCTATCAGGATTTAGCAGTTATAATATTTCGATTTTAGGTATGTCCTAAATTATAATTGGAACCAATTTGGTTGAACAATTATTGAGCAAACGAATGATGTAAGACCTAAATATAAAATTCAAGATAAATTTTATGAATTATAAATAAGTTTGTAACAAACTGTTTTTGATACAACCAATATATTTGTTCGTTACAGCGTGGCAAAGAACTGTTCACCCCAACTGCAGCATGGAAACCAGCTTTTAAAAGCCTAGATGCACCCCGTTCAGACTCAATAGTGACCACCGAGTCAATGCACCAAGGGCCTTTTGACAATTTGGGTTACGTTATGTAAATTTATTAGAATTATCACGAATTTAGAAATAGACAAAAGCGGAATTTGGGCACGCTTGTATGCCAAGCGGGATTCCTAACCGCTAGGCCATCTAGAAGTCGTACTCTTAAAACTAATTTCCTATATATCATCAACTTCATCTTGCTCTGTCCTGCACTATGGCATTAAAACTATGTAAGTAAGAGCAGAAGAGCAACGACAGAATACACGTTGTTTCGAATGTCTATATCGAAAATATAGGACCAGACTCCTCAACGATGTGAATTTAAACCAGCAGTGGTATATTCATTTGCAAAAACTTATTTTTGACGGTTGCAAGGCTAAAAATTAAAAACAATACCATTTAATTGACATTTTTATTCGATACCTGTGCCTATTAGCTAATATTAGAAAGAGGAAAACATTTGAACTTTATTATTAGGAGTAAATCTTCAGAGATACTGAAGAGATCCGATCGCCAAAATTCTTAACATCATACTGAAGGAAAACAGGTAGTCGAGTTAACATACATGACGGGACGGTATAAGCCGTTGACCCCACATATTGCAACGAAACGCAGCACCTCGCGAAAAATGATACATAATTCAATGGGTAGCAATTAGTATCGTTTACTTTCAACTCTCCCATAAATACTATGGGTTTATTACCTTTAATCACCTGCACTAGGAACTGCTAGGAACAGATTATAATATAAATCAACAAATATGTCAGTGTGGCTTTCATCTATCAAAGAGTTTCTTATATTTCCCTTGCTATTAGTATTCGTGTGTTCAAACTACATTGTCTCTATTACCAGTGGGAATACTGTATCGAATTTGTCTCCCTAACTAGAGAGTGACATCACGAGTCAAAGGTCAAAGTGTGGATATATATTCGTATGAAAGGTATATGCAATCAAAAATTCCGCCATACTATATTGTGACTAGGAAATTATAATGCGTCTTAATATAAATGAAATCATATCTTTGTGAGAGTATCGTAGAGTTCATAAATCGTAAATCATTAACAGTATTTCTAGTCGACACATTTTTTTTATTGATCGCTGTCCCGCGTTCTAGTTTCTCGTTTTTAGTTTTCAACCGACTAAAACCGAGAGCTGCGATGTATGCGCTTAAACTCAGTGCGATCTCAGCCTCGTTAGGTTAAGATCGCACTGCATTTGACTATTTGATTATTTTAAATATTAATAGTGTATATTTTGTGGAAATGTTATCGTAACAAATCTAAGAAGTGTTTTAATGACCACTTTATACTCTATGTTTATAAGTGGATATTAAAATTTACGTAAAAAATACTTCTGAAATAATCTATGACAATAGACAAGTCATTATAAAATAGAGATAATAAAAAAAGAATCTGCGGCACCCTTTTTTATTTTATTTATTTCTACATGCAAACTTGACAATTTTGTAGGCTTTAAGTACACAAGTTTTTTGTGTATTTATCTAATTCTTTAAATGTCGTATCTTCAAACAAACTATTATTAATTATTTATATTTAGATATACGCTTGCGATGTTTTGTCATTTTTTTATAATTAGGTCATAAAATTGTAATATGTGAAAGCAAATATAGAATCTTATTATGGCCAGTAAATAAATTATATTAGTTTATATGGAAGGTTGTTTTTTATTTTATATTTCTATATAATGCTTTATATTCCTTATACCTTAGTTCGATTCATTTTTAAGCAAGATATAAAAATACCATATATATATTATTTAAAAATGAAATAACTTATCTTTGTGAAACTCACTATAACTGAAGAACAGCCCCGTTATTCTGTAACTCACACACACAGACCTCTGTGGGCAAGGGGGGGACAAATAAGTGAGTTCGACACATTGGAATTGTTCACTTTTTACGGTGATTCCGACCCTAAGCTGTTAGTTGAGTTAGCGAATAGACGGTCAGTTGCACAAATGTCCATTAAGGTTTATTGACGCTTTTAATCTCTAATGAATGTCAAATTCGTATGGGTAATGTCACCTTAAACTAATGATAATTTTAATGGACGTTTGTGTAACTGGCTGCGAGTGAATTGGTGTTTTTTTTTAAGTAATGAAAGATTTAAATGGTGAAAAAAAAATAAAGTAATGGCAAAGAATATAGTAAATGCAACAATTTAATTTTCCCATAAAAACTATTGGTACCTATCACGAAAGGGTATGTTGAGAAATAATTTTATCGCATTTTTAATGTGATACGAAGTTTACTGGGGCTATAAAAATACAAGCATGGGTCTAATTGTCTAATTTTAAATCTATCTCAATCCCTTTCAATTTGACATTCAAAAAATATTTACAAACTTCACACTATCAGTTTTTTTTTTATTATTTACAATGGGCTCACTCTTGATCTCAAAATTAATATTTAAATATTTAACATTAAATAGCGATAGCATAGATATTGAATTAATGAAATCGTTTAACAAGCGTTAACACAAATACTCCTAACTTTAAGTTACTAAGTTTTTATTATGTTTCTTATTCATTCAAAATATTATTCGTTTCGAAAGTAATTGCGACTTTAAACGTTACATAATTCCATAAATCGCTACACCTTTAAAAGGACTTGTGATACATAATTAAATAAGACAATTAGCCCATCAGGTCAACGGAAATTTAAAAATTATTATTATAGAAACGTAATTGTTATATTATATATAAGTTTAGTACATTTTAGATATCAATGATACATAGTCTTGAATGTTTTTTTATGATATCCTGTATAAATATCAGAAAATATCGCATACTTTAAATAAGATAAACTAAAACATTTGTGATATGTAAATCAGTATATTCGAATATACCAAAACCTTCGAGATGTTAAAAAAACGTGATAATCATTGACAGCAACTTAACTTAGAAGGTCGCCAGTTGGGAAAATGGTAAATGAGACTAATTACTAAAGAGGTTTAAAATGTTTTCCGTGTTTCGTTAGTGCTCGAATAAAAGTAATTAAATGTAAAAGGCAACCGTAGCCGTAGTGGAATTACGAACTCCCTCCAGCCATAAACTTATACTATGTTTGACCGTAAGTTAATGATAATATAATAATAATTATATAACCTAAGGTCTGGTCAAAATAAACACAACAAAAATTCTGACTGACCTGATTTTGGGAGAAACTTTGAATAGATTAATAGAAATGAACTATCAAAAGTCCCCGTAGATAAAAAAAATGCGGTAAAAATTATTAAGATTTCAGTTTTATCGCCTGATCCCAGTAGTTCCATTATTTTAAACAAAAATGGTCGTCATACTTCCAAGTTTTTTCCAAGAATCAAAAGATTTCGCCATTCCAAAAGTAGAAAGAGTTAAATTATCGCATATATAACTAGCCGAAGGTTATATGTAAAGTGAAATTATTCCAACCTATAACACAAGACAGTGGCTAGCTAAAATTTTTTTTATATTTTGGATAATTAAACCTAAAAATAATACTTCAAATCAAACTACTAGTACCAAAACTTAGAGATTTCAGACACTTAATTTTCAGCCAAAACATATTTCAAACTTTGTATTATTGACTACTACCTATATCCGAAGTAAACAATATAAAATATTAAAATGCTTCTCCATTGGCTACACGAGAAGTCACTCACTCAAATAAAAGAATTTTATAAACTTTACGAAAGTATGAGAAAACTCGCGTAGTCGCTTTGTGTGTGAAAAGAAATGAAGAAAGTTGGCGACAAGTTATATGAGTTAAGGTATCATGAGAAATGTAAAAAGAAACTTTCATCATCCGTATATACTTATAAAACTTTAACTTAGAGTTAGCATCAAATCTAATGTAGAATCAAGATGACCAAATAATTTGCTACTTGACATGACAGTTACAACAATAAATCATAATCTAAATACATATGTATATATAACTTAAAAGTACATAGTGATCTATCAACGCACAACCTAAACCACTAGACGGATCGGGCTGTTTGGCATGCAGGTATATGTTATGACGTAGGCATCCACTAAGAAATAATTTTGATCAATTCTACCCCCAAGGGGATAAAATAGGAGATGAAAGTTTGTATGAAACTTTATCAATTTAAAACCGATTGGATTGAGACTTTGCATGCATAAAGCTACTATGACGTAGGCATCCCCTAAGAAAAGATTTTGATAAATTCCACCACTAAGAGGATAAAATAGGGGATGAAGTTTTATATAAATCTTCTTAGATTTTCGACTGATTGAACTAAAATTAAAGATTGGAGCAACAATGATGAACGTCCGCTTAAATAGGACTAAGATAAATTCAACGTGGATTGTATTGGATTAATATCTCTAAAGTTTTCAAAGAAAAAGTGCTGAAACATATTAGATATTTGTTTTTTTTTGTAGTATCTTCGAACTTAAAGGTGATGAAATTACCCAAAGGTTATTATTATTACTTTTTTCTTTTTTTTATGGGATAGGCGGCAGACGAGCAGACGGATCACCTGAGGGTAAGTGATTACCGTCGCCCATGGACACCTGCAACACCAGAGGGGCTACAAGCGCGCTGCCGGCCTTTGATGGACGAATATGATCATAGGGAGAGAAGGGTTGAGGGGTAGAGAGAAGGGCATAGGGAGGGGTTGGGCCTCCGATACCCTCACTCACACGACGAAACACAACACAAGCGTTGCTTCACGTCGGTTTTCTGTGAGGCCGTGGTATCACTCCGGTCGAGCCGGCCCATTTATGCCGAAAAGCGTATTGGGAAAATATATGCAGCCCAAAGAAATGTCACTCCCTCATTGTTTTGCGAGAAAATTCAAATTAATGAATAAAAATATATTGTTCTTTATTCAATACCACTTTTAAGAGACAAATTGAGGTTTAATTTGTCTCTTAAATCTGGTATTGAATTGAAGTTTGGGGTTTAATGTAAAAGTTTTAAAATGCAGTTGTTTATATAAAATTATATGTTTGTACAAAATCAGTGTATAAAGAAATAAAATCACTAAGTAATTCGCGCATAGCCTTACAAGAAACGCAAGATGACGAGAAGCTGATGCCTTGGTTATGTAGGCTTATTAAACATTATATATATTCATTTTACAATTTAAATAGAGTAAAAATATTGACTGTTATATTCCATCAAAAATATAAAATGTACATACAAAAATGCACAAGACTCGCAAC